TCCTTTTCTTTTTTGGCCCGAGAACACCATGTCCATCATTTCCATAAACAATCTGAGAGGTGGACTCAGAACACAGTACACGTTTCCACTAAGCATCAGTCCATTTCAGATGAGCTTGAACCCAGAGAAGTCGGCGGCGTTTCTGGACAGTGTTGATATTTGGCTTCCACTGTGCAGAGTACAGTCTAAGCCAGCATTTGTGGAAGCAGAGACGAATTGTGTTTACTGATGAGGGTTTTCAGAAGTGTTCCTGAGCCCATGTGGTCATATTCATACAACGCCATCTGGTGTTCAGCCTTGTTCTTTACGCAGAGATTTCTGCCGATTCTCTGAATCTTTAATAATCCTATGGGCTGTAGATGGTGAAATCCCTAAACTCCAACATAGAAACATTGTTTTTAAACTTTTCACTCACACAGTTCTTCACAAAGTGTCGACTGAGCCTTTCGTTTTACACCCAATCATAACAGCACCACCCGTTACCTGTATAATCTAGTCGAACCAGTCTTAAGATGACCCCGTCTGACGTTTTTGTAATGTGCTGCAGGCTTCGAATTTGGAATTAGTGTATACTTTTAAAAAATCAATAAAGTTGATGAGGTAAAATATTAAATGTCTCTTTGTTGCTTTGTTGCTGTTTTCAAATCATTATCTGTAAAAGACAATTTACAAATCCCTGATTTCTGATGTTTTGTGTTTACCTACTGTCCCAACTTCTGTGGAATTGGGTTTTTATGTAAAACATCAATCAAGACAAGTTTGGTGTCCAAATTTTGCTCCTTTCTTTTATACTGTGGAGGAATTTAGCCAACATGTAATGGAAGCTCCAGGTGAAAAACTCACATCCAATTAGCAGCTCAATTTACGGTAAATACAAACACAGCAGATAAACGTTGGTGATGATGAAGGTAAAGTCCTGTTGTGTTTGAGGCTGTAATGGCAAATGAACCCAAGAACACAATGGAATTGGATTTTCTTTTTCCCAGCTTTTAAAAGGCACAGCTGCTACAAGTGTTCTCTGTAGCTCTGTAAGCTTGCAAAGGGTTCACTGAGTGCTCATGGTTCTATATAGAATAATTCCCTTACTAAAGAACCCTTGAAGAACCATCTTGATGTGCTGTTTTTTTTTTATTATAGCTCTGTAAAGAGTTCACTGAGCAAGTCTGCCCTCATAGAAACCACTAAAAGATTCTGCTAGTTCCTGATGGTGTCCAGGACTTTATCTAATGGTTTTACTGGTCTTTTTTAGCAGGAAGGAAGCTAACAGTATTAGCATTTATGCTAACCTCCACAGAGGTTAACAAAAAAGTGTTTTTGCTCATGATTTTGTGTAAATGTGGAGATTCGTGTGAGTCACAGAACAGTCAGTGTATCATTTCATATCAGCCAATAAGTTCAAGGGGAACCAATTAGCTGATGTTGGAAAATAGTGGAAAATCTGAAATAATAAGTTTTCTTTGGGGACTATTTTGCCTCACAGTGCCCTGCATGTATCCCTCCACCATGAATGGAGTTTAAGTTCTCTAAACTATCATAAAACAGTGTCTCAGTCATCAGGCAGTGAATTCATAACCATTTCATGTAGTAACTTTCTGTGAGGGAGCTTTTAGAGGTGGACGTCTGGTTCCTATCACCACCACTGTGAACAGTTCTGAAGTTTATCTAGAGCAGAACGTTTCACACCAAACCACTCTGAACCTCTCTGAACCGCTCTGAACCGCTCTGAACCTCTCTGAACCGCTCTGAACTGCTCTGTTTACATCTTAATCAATATAATTAGGTGGGACATTTGACAAATTGGTTCCCTTTTAAGATAACTAGCAAGCAAGGTAGCTAATTAGCCAAATTCGATACTTTAGAGTGGCAAAAAAGACCAAAATGACCACTAAATCGCAAGACGTGGTCATTCTAAACGGTTCCAGCTGATTCTCGAGCAGGAGGAAGATGAACTAGACTGGAGCTGCTGCTCTGTTGGTTTCACGTTTGTGTAAGTTAATGTTTTAACGTGCAGAAGCAAAAACACCTCGATAAAGCGAACAGTTCCTTATTAAACCCTGCAATGAAGTACACAGCTGTGCCTCTTTATGATCATACGACAAAATGAAGAACTAAACAAAGGCGTGAGCTTAATGAGCATCACGCAAATACAACCTGAAAGCATCAGACCTGCCTGAAGCCTCAGCCCTGAATAACAGCCATGTCTGTATAACTACGGAGCCCTGCTGGAGACATCCTGTACAGAGGAAGACAATGCATTAACACGTGGGAACAAGATCCTAATGCATGGGCACAACTTAGTAAGGTGTGGGAAAGAGATAACAAAGTCGTGGCCACAACTTAGTAAAGGACAGGAACAAGATTATGCCTTTTTAAGCTGTGGTTAAGGGTTAATTATCTCATTCTCACGCCTTACTAAATTGTGGCTACGCATTAGGATCTCGTTCCCATGCCTTGCTAAGTTGTGGCCATGCATTAGTGATATTTATACGGTAGGTCACCAGCAGAGCTCTGTAGAAACAGTGAGTCATACAGTGTCCAAAACCACAAAATCAAGACGCTGTTAGAGACACTGAACCTTCACGCAGGTTCAGGGGAGCATGCGGTGATTCAGGCCTGCAGCTGGCATCATGTTGATTTGTGGGGTAGAAGCTTCCATTACTTGTTAGTTACAGCACTGTGTTAAAGTCAGAGACCGTTAATTTAATGTCCATTTAAAAACCAGAAGTTGTTTGTTTTCTCAGGGATTTCTGAGGAGATTGGATATAAGTTCCACTTTCATCAGGAAGGAGAAAGGTAAAACTGGAAAATCTCCAGAGAAAATGTTCCTCCTAACAACCACCTGGAAGAGCTGGTCGACCCCAAAACTGCCCCGTCAGATAAACAGCACTTAAAGCTTTCATCTCTGAGAGAGAGGAGAAAATCAAGCTGCTTCAGATCTGAAAACATCCACAGGTGTTTCTGTCCATCCTTCCACTGTGAGAAGACGACTCAGCGCTGTGGGTCTGAAAGGATGTGTAGCTGATCAAGAAGAACCTCACTGAGAAAAGGAGACGGACACATCAAACAAAGAAGCTGAACGATGGACTGACCACCCCAGAGTCCAGACCTCAACACCACTGAATGTGTTTGATTACTTCAGAAAATCATCAACCAGCTTCTAAGACTGAACTTTGGAGGTGTGTCTGCAGATTCTTTGAGGACCTGAAAGTGAGTCTCCTGAAAAGAATGGAAGCTGGAATAAAGGGAGAGAGACTCAGTGACTCACACAGCTGAGAGGAGACTGAGCTGCTGAGTAATTTCACGTTAAATATACCTTCAGCTTTTCTCCTGATGCTATGAATGAATAGAGATAAAGAAATGAAAGGTGGTCTCTGATTTCTGCACAGTGCTGTATAATCACTCCGGTGTGGATTTCTGTTCTCATGTCTGTGTTTTAATGGTGTATAGTGTTCATTTTTGCAGTGCTGGTCGAGCTGCTGCACGATGTGATGTATCTAATCTAATGAAGCTACAGTTCAGTGCTACTGCAGGAGGGAAAGAAACCCCTCCTTTTCTTCCAGGCAGAAATCTGGATTTAACTGAAAGGATGTTTTTTAACAGGGTAAATTTATTCATTTCCTCTCAGCCAAATAAAGAACCAAAGCAGAGCATGAAAATGACAACAGCCTGATAGAAATATTTGTTGTTAATGTTTCTTCCTTTCGGCTGTTTTATTTGTCTGCGCGCTGCGATATGAAATAAAATATTGGTGCTACTCAGAAGTCTACAAGGCCAGATAATGGAAGACAGAGAGAGGGAGAGAGGAAGGAGGGAGGGAGGGATGACATTCTTAATGTGTGAGTCTGTGAGATGTGTGGAAACTGTTAACAAGCTGAGAGAGAGAAGAGAAAGAAAACAGAGAAATGAGGAGAGAGAGGAGGAGTGGAAGGAGGGATGTGATGTTCAGTGTGGAACTTACGGCTGAAATCGGTTACGCAAAATTGAAAAGAAATAATTTCATGATGCTGAAATGGTAACATAATATCAGAGAATCTCACACGATATTAGAAAGGAATACAGTGTCGTACAGTGTGATACAGGCCAAAGCTGAAATCATGATGTAATGTCATGTAGGGTAACCTAGCACTGTAAAACGGAAACAGTTCGTATGCTAACCTAGCATTAAAAAGTGCAATTAAAAAGCCTTGTACTGTAAAGTAATTTTTAAAGTGTAACATAAAGTCACATAGTATGACTCCATGCAAACGTGGAGTCATATGGTGTAACCCAGCATTATGAAGAGTAACAAAAAGTCACAGAGTGTAATCCAGCACCATAAAGTGTAACAGAAAGTCATTTAGTGTAACTTAATCTTAGAAATAGTCAAATAGTGTAACCGAGCATTGTAGTGTAACAAAGTCGTATAGTGTAAGTGTAACACAGTCATACAGTGCAACCCAGCATCATAGTGTTATAGTGTAACTTACTCTTTATAAGGTGTAACAGAAAGTCATATAGTGTAACTTACTCTTTATAAGGTGTAGCAGAAAGTCATATAGTGTAACTTACTCTTTATAAGGTGTAACAGAAAGTCATATAGTGTAACTTACTCTTTATAAGGCGTAACAGAAAGTCATATAGTGTAACTTACTCTTTATAAGGCGTAACAGAAAGTCATATAGTGTAACTTACTCTTTATAAGGTGTAACAGAAAGTCATATAGTGTAACTTCATCTTAAAAATAGTGAAATAGTGTAACCGAACATTGTAGTGTAACATAGTCATGCAGTGAAACCCAGCATCATGAAATGCAACATAAAGTGATGTAGTGTAACTTGGTTTTATAAAGTGTAACGTAAAGTCATATAGCGTGACCCAGCAGGGTGGAGTGTGATGTCATAACGTGTGAATTCTGTAGTTTGTTTGGTGAGGAAGTACAGGTGTCGGTAAAAAGAGAGAGAGAGAGAGAGAGAGAGAGAGAGAGAGAGAGAGAGAGAAGGCTGGAGATATCAGAGAGAGACCGGAAGAGAAGGGCAGAGATAGAGGGATAGAGAGAGCAGTGCAGAGGACAGTGTGATGGAGGGGTGAGTGTGATGGAGGAGGGCAGCGCTGGACCCCGCCGGCCGGCGCCTGGTCCGCGGGCCGTTACACAGCGGAGTGTTACAGCAGGTGATACACACGGAGTTCAGCTTCCCCGTACAGAACTGCTGATACCCCGACGACGCGATCAGACACGCCCCCGACGACGCACACGACTTCCTGTAGTGGATCCCTGCACACACACACACACACACACAGACACACACACACATACACAGACACAGAGAAAGAGAAAAAACAAAACATTTACATCCATAAAAACCTGAAAGACTCGAGTCAGACGAACCCAGAGAGCACCGTGTTTGTTTGTTTGTTTGTTTGATAGTTATTTGTGTTTTGTCGTCTCCTGCTGGTCTGGATTTGATGAGGTGAGTCATTAATATCCTCAGTATACAGTCGCTCTGCTTCCTGAACATCCGCCACCACACACCTTAACTCATTACAATTATAATAAAAATATGTCTGAATAAAAATTTAAATATAAACTCACAGGGAATAAATGAAAACAAGGAAAATTAAACTGAAAACAAAGCAAAATAAGAGAAAATAGAATAACACAAAAATATAAAATAAAACAAAATGGGATAGAATAAAATAACAAGAGAACATTTAATAAAATAAAATAAGACAAATTGGAATAATAAAAAAAATCTAAACAAAACACAATAGAATAGAATAACACAAGATAAAATACAATATGATATTAAAAATGACAATATAGAACAAGAAAAATAAAAGAACACAAAATAAAACAAAACAAAACAAACTAAAATAACACAAGACAAATAAGTTCAATTTAAACCAAACAAGACTGAAAATAACAATACAAGACAAAATACAATAAACAAAAAAGAATAGCATAACAAAAAAAAACAAAATAAAAAAACAAAACATAAAATAAGCTAAACAGATAAAATATAACACAAACCAAATGAATTAGAATGACATAAAACGATAAGATAAAGCAAACAAAATGAAATACAATAAAGCAAAATAGAATAAAATAACATGACAGAAAAATAAAACAAACAATAAACAAATTAGACAAAATAGAATCAAGCAAAATGACAGATAGATAAAACAAACAAGATCAAAATAGATGTGTGTAGGTGTGGATCAGTATGTTTGTGTTTGTGCGTCTATATACACACACACACACACACACACACACACACACACACAGGGGAAGAGATGGGCAGATCAGAGAAGGACAGAGTGATCGGACTGACTGGACGGAGGAGAGAGAGTTCAGGAGAATGACTCAGCTGAATGTCAGGACGCTGAGGGTTCACTGGCCACCGACCATCGTTTACACTAGAATAATACTAATATATTCTGACAGCCCAGAGAAGAAGAATAAAAAAACGGTCATTTATTATGATTTTATATTATTTATTATTATTATTATTATTACATTTTTAATATTTACTGTTTCTTTTCAATGTAATGGGATCATTTTGTGAATGTGATGGGCTGTCAGGCCGCGGGCTGGAAAGAATCTCCCCTCAGGCCCGTGGACACACTCGCTCACTTAATTCACCACTTATTCACCAGTCAGTAAATTCACCACTTATTCACCAGTCAGTAAATTCACCACTTATTCACCACAGTCAGTAAATTCACCACTTATTCACTACAGTCAGTAAATTCACCACTTATTCACTATAGTCAGTAAATTCACCACTTATTCACCACAGTAAATTCACCACTTATACACTACAGTCAGTAAATTCACCACTTATTCACCACAGTAAATTCACCACTTATTCACTACAGTCAGTAAATTCACCACTATTTCACTACAGTCAGTAAATTCACCACTTATTCACCACAGTCAGTAAATTCACCACTTATTCACTACAGTCAGTAAATTCACCACTTATTCACCACAGTCAGTAAATTCACCACTTATTCACCACAGTCAGTAAATTCACCACTTATTCACCACAGTAAATTCACCACTTATTCACTAGTCAGTAAATTCACCACTTATTCACCACAGTCAGTAAATTCACCACTTATTCACCACAGTCAGTAAATTCACCACTTATTCACCACAGTCAGTAAATTCACCACTTTTTCACCACAGTCAGTAAATTCACCACTTATTCACCACAGTCAGTAAATTCACCACTTATTCACCACAGTCAGTAAATTCACCACTTATTCACTACAGTCAGTAAATTCACCACTATTTCACTACAGTCAGTAAATTCACCACTTATTCACCACAGTCAGTAAATTCACCACTTTTTCACCACAGTCAGTAAATTCACCACTTATTCACCACAGTCAGTAAATTCACCACTTATTCACCACAGTCAGTAAATTCACCACTTATTCACTACAGTCAGTAATTTCACCACTTATTCACCACAGTCAGTAAATTCACCACTTATTCACTACAGTCAGTAATTTCAA